GGAGGTCATCGAGTGGTACAACGTGGTGTCACCGGCCACGTGGGCCACCCTGTGCGCCACGTACGTCATGTACTACTTCTTCATCGGCTTCCGCGACGAGTGGCGGCGACGGAGCGCAGCTACAGCGCGGCGGCGACGCCGACAGCGCGGCGGCGACGTCGACCGCAGACGCCCTCTAGGCCACCAGACGGCCGCCCAGGGCCGCCCTGGCATCAGCCCCCACACTGCCTCGAGCCTCGAGCCGACCCCCCTGCCAAAACCTGGTAGCACGCCAGCGGGGGCGGCTTCAGCCCCCCCGCATGGCACCACGCCTGCCATTCCTGTCATCGGCCCCCACACTGCCTCAAGCCTCGAGTCGACCCCCCCGCCAAAACCTGGTAGCACGCCAGCGGGGGCGGCTTCAGCCCCCCCGCATGGCGCCACGCCTGCCATTCCTGTCATCGGTCCCCACGCTGCCTCGAGCCCTGGGGTGACCTCCCCGCCGCAACCTGGTAGCGCGGCAGCGGGGCCAGCCTCGGCCGTCTCGCATGCTCACACGCCTGCCCTGGGCCCTGGCTCCCTCGCAACCTCGCGTGTTAGCACCAGCGCTGCCAGCACTAGCACTGTGACTGCACGGGGGCACTTCGAGCGCTTCCTCGGACCGCAACCAACCACCATCGGTCACCTCCGAGCCGTAAACTGCCGTTTGGCCGCTTGGATCCCACCACGGCTCCACGCGGGCACAGCGGTCATCGTCCAGGGTCAAGTCCACAACCCCATCAACGGCCTCCGAGGTATCGTACGGGGGCAGTCCAGCGAGCACCCCGGCCACTGGACCGTCACGCTGTCGTCTGGGGACACCGCCCACCTGAGCTGCTCCAGTCTGACCGTCCCTGCACCTGCGCTCCGCGCCGAGATGCCGTCCCCCAGTACGGGCGCACAGACCAAGGCCCAAACTCAGGGACCCCAGCCCGGCCCAGCAGTGGACCCACGCCACCGTACCTCAGCAGCACAGCGCCCTGACGTCACGGCAGCAGTACCCTGCAGGCCACCTGCGCTGACCGTCCCACCAGGCAGCCGCGCCCAGACTGAACGCACAGCTGACTGTGAAGTCGGACTCCGAGACTCACGCGACGACGGCGCCGACGACCACTACCTCCACCACGACTCTGGCCCGCAGTTCGGACATGCTCCTAACCTGCGTGGACGCGGCCCTCGGCCTCCCGCACGGCCGCACAGCAGGCCTCATCCACGGCGCCACTCTCAAGCGTCTGCGCACTGATACTGATTTCCTTCTTCAGTTTCTTACGTGGTCCGACGCTTTTGAAGAACGCTGGGGCTTCTCATTCACTTTGCCCTCATCCTGACCAGCGTGGTACGGCCTCGCCCTCGCCGCATGTGCGCGCCCTGCCTTGCTCACCCGGGCGCTGTTCCCTGGTGTGCCGTGCCTGCTGGCGGGGGTGGCGGCTTCAGCCCCGCCCCACGCACCCGTGCCATCACGCCATGTCATGTCCGCCATGTCGTAGCGGGTGCATCCGCGGTGAGGGCCTCCTCTGCACCCTTGCACTGTCTCTGCCTGTGCGCATGCTGGGCCATTCGGCTCCCAGCATGTGCACCTTTTCCTCAGCGCGTCTGGCGCCCCTCTGCCGTCCGCCGCCTGGCCGCGGACTCTGTCACTTTCGAGGTCCGCCAATGGGGGCTAAAGGTTAGCTGGCAGCGGCTGGTGCCGCTGTGCTGTCGGCTAGCTTTTGCCGCTCCTGTTGGGGTTCTCGGCCTGTGCGCACTGTGCTGGGCCATGCGGCTCCCAGCTGGTGCGCCTTTTCTCTTTTCGCCAGCCCGTGCGCCCGCGAGGCACCGCGTCCACGGGGCCTGGGCGCGGGGGCGGGGGGTGCCCCGTCTCTGCGCGCCGCGCAGCGGCCAAGCGCCCAACCGGCGGTCCGCCAAGCCGCCTTAGCCACGTTCTTCACGTCGCCACTCGCGTTGGGGCCTTCTTCTTCACGCGGTCTGACAGGTGAGATCTTCATGGTCTGTCCGCCGTCTTTTGCTTCAGACGCATTGCGCCGGGGGAGGGGGCCTGTCGCCCGCCCTCGTATCTTAAGGCTGCACCGCCGCTAACAGTGTTTTTCGGGTTGTCGCACCGCAGTGCGCCCCGAGGACGGACCTTGGTCCGCCTACTTGTCCGGTCTCTCTCTCTCTCTCTCTCTCTCTCTCTCTCTCTCTCTCTCTCTCTCTCTCTCTCTCTCTCTCTCTCTCTCTCTCTCTCTCTCTCTCTCTCTCTCTCTCTCTCTCTCTCTCTCTCTCTCTCCTCCCTCCTCCTCCTCCTCCTCCTCCTCCTCCTCCTCCTCCTCCTCCTCCTCCTCCTCCCCTCCTCCTCCTCCCTCCTCCTCCTCCCTCCTCCCTCCTCCCTCCTCCCTCCTCCTCCCTCCTCCTCCTCCTCCTCCTCCTCCTCCTCCTCCTCCTCCTCCTCCTCCTCCTCCTCCTCCTCCTCCTCCTCCTCCTCCTCCTCCTCCCAATAGCTTACGCGATAATCGCAGGCCCCTTCTCCTTCATCCTCCTCCTCCTTCTCTCCTTCGATCTCTTTCCTCCTCACCCTTCTCCCTCGTCACCCCCGCCTTGTCCGTCGCCCCAGGCCGCCCCTCCTTAATGCGACCCCTGCGGGCGGGGGGCAGGACAGAGGGGGAAGAAGCAGCGCGCCGAGCAGCCGAACATGCAGGAGCAGAGGATCATTTGCCAGAAGGTCAGGATGATCAGCGACAAGGGCAAGATGAACGCTGAGCCGCAGAGCAGCGTCATCGACCAGTCCGGGATGATCGCTAAGCAGCAGGGCAGCGTTATCGACAAGTCCGAGATGAACACTGAGCAGCAGAGCAGCGTCATCGACAAGCCCGAGATGAACACTAAGCAGCAGATCAGCATTATCGGCGAGTCCGAGATGAACACTAAGCAGCAGAGCAGCATTATCGGCGAGTCCGAGATGAACATCGAGCAGCAGAGCAGCATCACCGACAAGGCCGCGACGAAGGGCGAGCAGCCGCGGGCAGCGTCTTCAGCAGACGCCGCCACGGGGAAGGGGGCGAGGGAGGATGCGCTGAGGAATAGGAGGAGGAGAAGGAGGGGGAACACCACGGATGCCAGAACTCAGGAGGAGGAGGAGGAGGAGGAGGAGGGTGAGAGGGCCAGGGCAACAAGAGGATGAGTAGCAGGTAAGTGGTAAATGAAACATAGGTGGACGAGGTGGATGAGGTGGAAGGCGCCTCCTCTGTCCTCCTCATGTTCCATCCTCCGTCATCCTCCTCCCTACTCCTCCCCTCCTCCCTACTCCTCCCCTCCTCCCTACTCCTCCTCCCTCCTCCCTACTCCTCCCCCCTCTGGGGGTCGATGGGCATGCAGCTCAATCCTCCACTCCTCGACCTCCCCCTGGAGGGGCTGCCGGAAAGCTTCCAACTGCGAGGGCCACGAACGCACCTGGCCGAGCGGGGGGGGCCCCTTGCCCCACGTCGCAGTCGTCTCCTCCGTCGTCGCAGTCTGCCTGCAATCCGCCCCGAGGCTTCGCGATCGAGGTCCGCTTCGAGGCCCCGCCGTGCTACCCAGACGAGCCAGAGTTCGATGCGCTGAAGGCAGAGCTCGAGCAGATTTTCAGCTCGCAGCCCAGCTAGGGCCAGACTCCAGCGCACGCGTTTCAAGAGCCCATGGGTGGTTCAATATGTCTGCATTTTGCGGACGCTTCAGTGCCGCGAGCGCGGGGCTCGAGTCGCTCGCCACGGCGCGCTGCAAGTTGTAGTCCTACTCCTCCGCTGCTCCCTCGATCGTCCTCCGCTGCTCCCTCGATCGTCCTCTGCTGCTCCTTCTGCTTCTGCCCATCCTCACGGCCCTCGCTGCTTCCCCCGCCGCGCCTCCCTCGTTCTTTCTCACCTCCCCTCTCGTCATCTCCTGTCTGCCCGAGGCCCCCGGCTCGAGCGATGAGGAGAGCTTCCGTGAAACGGACGCGACGCGCTGACCTGCTGCCCCCCCCACCCCCCCCTCCCCAATGGCCCAGCTGTCGAAGTGGTCTCGTCTGGGGATGAGGGCGGACCCGAGATAGCTGCCCCTGGGGACCCAGCGGGGACGGAGTTCCTGCAATTCTTGTTGAAGCTATGGGCTTTGGCAAAGCCTTTCTCTGACAAAGATATTTGCAGTATCGCCTGGTTCGCCCAGAAGGCAGGCGCGACGGGGGTTCGAAAGTTGGCCGTGGACCCGAAGACAGAGGGGTACAACCACCGTCGAACAATTCGGAAAGTCACCACTCCTTTCCAGCTGGGTATAGTGTACAACGTCGACAATGTGCCAATGTGGTCGTGTTCGAAGAATACTCGCGCGTTTGGAAACATTCCCATTAGGCTGCCACTTGGCGCACTTAACGACGAGTTCAAAAGAAACCCTGACATATTCAAAGCAAGCTGCAGCTATCCAGATACAATATATTCTCAGAGTTATTACAACCACCCTCTGGCCCGGCTGCACGGCAGTGAGCACGTGACCCCTCTTAGGTTATACTCTGACAAGGTGCGAGTTTATAAGGAAGATTCGTTCACGAGATTATCGATATCCATATGTTGGTCCCCAAAGAGATGGACTATATTCAGTGTGCTTTCAAGCGCGTTGTGCAAGTGTGGGTGCAACGGGCGATGCACGTTGGACGCCTTGCAGCGCGCCGTCAACGCATCGTGCAACGACGTGCAGCGAGCTCGCCACCCCATGAATAGGCCCTGGGGGGCGGAACGGGGGAGGCGAGGAGGGGATGAGAGGGAGGGAGGGAGAAAGGGGGAGTACGATGAGCGAAAGGAGGAGGAGGAGGAGGGGGAGGAGGAAGAGGAGGAGGAAGAGGAGGGAAGGGAAACGGGGACGGAGGGAGGGAGGGAATAAGACGGACGGAAGGGGGGATAGGGGTAAGACGGGGGGCGGAGCAGGGGGATAGGGAAATGGGGAGGGATAGAGGCACGACGGCTCGGCATTCGTGAGCAAGCGCGACGCTCGCCGCCGAGATGTGGCTGGTGCGCCGCTGGAGTGGCGCGGGGCAATCTGTGAATATGTAGGCAGGGCTCGACCTCCAATACATTTTTTTAGGTGCTCCGTGGGTGCAGTCGCATGGAGGCGCGGAAAGATTTCCAGGCCCCCTCCCCCACCCACTGGGAATGTCAACAAACTGCAAACTTCCTGGACCCTCGGTTCTCCATGTCTTCCATCCCTGACCCTCCAGGGACAACGCACTCCTAGCGGCGACGCCCCGTGAGTCCGGCGCGGGTGGGCACGTTGAGCCCCGCAGGCGATTGGCCTGAGATGTGCTATATGATGGCCTTGAAGATGTTCAAGGCAGTGGAGCGCCCGTGCAAAGATTGCGATTGCAGAGATGAGACGATGTTTGATTTTGACGGCACCACGTTCCATAACACGAAGTTCGTTAGGAACACGCACGAAATTATAGACAGTGAATGGCGCAAACAATTGGTGCCAGTAGCAATCAGCACACAAATCGAGAAGGATACCCTCATCAATTCTATGCAGTATTTTAAGATTTGGCCTTACGGTTACCGCGTCACTAGGGCCGTGCGCATCGGTAACGTTGAGCTCCAGCGAATGGATAAGGTCTTGTGCAACTACGCGTTGCTAGATATAGGTGCTATGATATCGATACCTGTGCCGTGCATCCTCATGTTTTTGCAGGCCTGCGAAGATGTCTGGTCTCACGGGTTGCTCGATGCTGTGGAGCGTCGACGGCGCGCATAATTGGAGGGGGAGGGCGGGCAGCGCAAATGCGTTGCAACGCGTGAGGGAACGAGGAAGATAGGAATTATATCATATAGATATTTGGTTTACACATGCACACATATGTACACAGATATATGCACATAGGGAGAAGGGGGGGGGGAAGAGAGAGAGAGAGAGAGAGAGAGAGAGAGAGAGAGAGAGAGAGAGAGAGAGAGAGAGAGAGAGAGAGAGAGAGAGAGAGAGAGAGAGAGAGAGAGAGAGAGAGAGAGAGAGAGAGAGAGAGAGAGAGAGAGAGAGAGAGAGAGAGAGAGAGAGAGAGAGAGAGAGAGAGAGAGAGAGAGAGAGAGAGAGAGAGAGAGAGAGAGAGCAAGAAAGAGGGCGACAGAGAGGCATGAGCAATCAGGCGGGGGCGCCTGCCGTGACTGACGCTGGTGTCGGCCGCCCCTGAACGGCCTGCCTCCCTTGGGGCGGGGGGTGGAGGCAAGTCGGCGTCGGACGGAGGAGGAGGGATAATCAGGAGGAGGATCGAGAGAGGGAGGCGAAGGGCGACGACAAGGACGAGGAGGATGGGGGCACGTCAGAGGGGCCGAGGCCAACAGTGCGAGGGGAGGGGAATTGAATACTTTCGGTGCGATTTCTGCGTCGACGACGCGCTGCGCTGCCTAGACCTCGGAGTCTGGCAGAAGTATCAGGGGCTGGCTCTGACGCGCCTAATAGAAGCCAACGTTGCCAAGTCGGACCATACTATCAAAGAGGAGCGCAACCAGGCCAACATTGTATGGCTTCGCCGCGCTATGAGAAGGTTTTACGAGCGAGTTCACTCGGCCGATCCTTTGAAGAAAGTTTCGAAGATCGACCGCCTCACACTCGGGATGCTAGGTGATTCGAAGACCTCCACGTCTCGGGACCCGACTTTGAAGGCTAAAGGCGGAGAAACCAAGCAGGTCCTCCCTTTTACGGTTAAGATGATGGAATTGCACGGACACCTCCTTGATGGAGGGCCCCATTTGCTGGCAGCGGGCACGCGCGCACTCCGAGCAGCACAGATTATGAAATCAAGCCCCCGTTTGTTGCCGTTCCCTCTGTGCCAAGAGCTCTTAGATACAATGCTGTGCCATATTGTGCAATATAAGCTCGCTGGCGGCAACCACATTCCGAAGCACCACCAAGGTGTCCATATGGCATTAGATTCGGCCGTGTACGGAAATCCGTCCACATACACAACTTACACAGATGAGCACGAGAATGGCATATCAAAGCGCATGTCGCAAGCGACGCGCCCCAAGAATTTTGCAGAGAGTTTTTTTCGAGCGCGCTCTGTGCATAGACGACCTGGAGTTTGTCCAGGCTTGATAAATGGGATGCGGAGGCAGGAGTTGGAGGATGGGGAGGAGGATGAGGATGAGGAGGTGGCGAACGACGGCGACGACGATCACCCTTGATCGTTGTCGCGGAGTGGAGCTCCCTGGCGACGCCGTTTCAGCCGCGGCGGAATGATGCGGAGGGGGGCGTGCGGAGAGGGGGAGCGCAAAGGACGACGTGCTGGGAAAAGCGCTGAGCCCTCCCCCGCTCCTCCGTCCACTTCCCTCCTCCCTCCTCTTCCTACCTCCTCTTCCTCCCTCCTCTTCCTCCTTCACTCCCTCCTTCCTTTTCTTTGGAACTGAGTGTCCTCCTCATCCTCCCTCCCGGCTCCTGCCGCCGCCGCCGCCGTCGTCGACGCCGTCGTTGCGGCGTGAAGGCCTTCACTCCGCAGGCCAGCGCCCGCTCCGGGGAGGAGGAGGAGGAGGAGGAGAAGGAGGGGGAGGAGGAGGAGGAGAAGGAGGGGGAGGAGGAGGAGGAGGAGGAGGGGGAGCAGGATCAGAAGGAGGAGGAGGAAGGCGAGGAGTGAGGTGGAGCGGAGGAGGATGCGGAGGAACATCGAGGAGAAGGAAAGAGGAGGAGATGGGAGGAGGGTCGTCGTCGTCGTAGTCGGGGGGAGGAGGAGGAGGACGACGACGAGGATCGAGGACGAGCCGGCTTTCGGTCGTCGAGCCGGCCCCCGACGCTCTTCGATGGCCGCCGAGGTTTCGGGGCCAAGATAACCGCGAACATCTGGCAGGGAGTTAAATTTAAGTCCGGCCCCCCCGCATACATCCATGGACCTCCATAGGTTAAAAACATTTGGGTTTAGGTTTTTTTGAATCCAGGCTAAGTTTTTAGGTTTTTTAATCCTCGACCTCTGATTCTGAAGGCTGCCCTCAGATCCCGAGGGCACGTGGAGGTCTGGGAAGTCCACCAGCCGACGAATCGACGCAGGCATGCTGCAGCATGATCACATAAGTACATTTGAAACATGAACATGGTAACATACATACATGACAGAAACACAGTTAAAACATACATGTGAATAACAAATCGGCGGTCCGATGTGCAAAGCACGATGGATAGCGCCGCCCTGACGCGAGCGTCTGCGCGCGCATCTGGAGTGCGGGCGTCGCCGTGCCCACGCGCGCGGCCAGCGCGGCGCTGAGGCGCGCCTTGTGGCTGTCCGCGAAGCCCGACGCGGTGATGCGATTCTGCAGGGTAGGTGCTTGGGCAGCCCCGATCGCCCCCAAGTTGCGAAGCTGCAGCTGCGCGCTCATGGACAAGGCGGACTGGCTCTGCGCCATCGCGTCGGCGGCGATGGCGCCGATCTGCGATGCGAAGAAAGCGTCGCAGCTGTCCAGGTTATCCAGGATGTGTTTGATGGGTGTGGCCGCAGCCGCGGCAGCCATGATGCCCTCCGCGAGGGCGAGGGGGTGCGCGGACGCTCCGAGGGGAAGCGCGAGGGAGGGCCCCCCGCACTGCGAGAGCTGAAGCACTCGGCTGCTGAGGTGGAAGAGAGGCCACAACAGTACAGATGCGCTGCAGCGCAACGATCGCATGCAATTAACGAAAACACGTGAGCGCTGCAGCGCTCAGCCGAAATCATCGTCACAACGTAACTTGAAGCGCTGCAGCGCTGCGCATGCGCACCATGATGGAACGCATGGTAGTGGGCAATAGGGTGAGATATAGAGTGATGGAAAGGGGGGGGGGGGGGAGATAGCGAGGGGCACGGGGGGGGGGGGAGAGAGAGAGAGAGAGAGAGAGAGAGAGAGAGAGAGAGAGAGAGAGAGAGAGAGAGAGAGAGAGAGAGAGAGAGAGAGAGAGAGAGAGAGAGAGAGAGAGAGAGAGAGATGCGAGGAGACACGGGAGGGAAGGACACGAGCGCGGGCGGGCGGGCGGGCAGGACACGGGGGGAGATGCATGATCATTTGAGGAACACGGAAGGGCCGGTGCGAAAGACACGGAGGGGTGGGAGGGGCATGGGAGAAACACGGGGGGTGGGGGGGGGGGGCGCGGAAGAGACGCGGGGGGGGCGCGGGAGTTCGGGGGCGAGCGGGCGGGCGGACGCGGGGGCGGCGCGGAGGGGCACGGGCGGGGGCGCACGGAAGGCAGGTGGAGACGCGGAAGGGGCACGGGAGAGACGCGGGAGAGAGACGGGAGACGGATAGGTATACACGGGAGCTCGGGAGCGGGCGGGCGGGCAGACACAGGAGGGACACGGAAGGTGTCCGAGGAGGGCGCGGGACGGATTCAGGAGATGCGCGAAGTGTGATCAGGGGCAAATACCGAGGCGATCTGGGAGCCTCGAAGGCAGCTGGGACATCGACAGAGGCGTGTCTGTTCAATAGAGGGGGCTATTGAACAGACACGGGCGTGGCTGTTCAATAGAGGGGGCTATTGCACATGGCATGTTCAATAGAGGGGGCTATTGAACAGACACGGACGTGGCTGTTCAATACAGGGGGCTATTGAACAGACACGCCGCTGTCAGACAGCATCACCTCTGCAGAGGGGCACCGACGCTCTCAGATCGCTTCACCCGAAGCTCCCGTTCGACCTCAGATCAGCCATCCTGATGCCAACATCCAGCACTCCAGCCCACCCCAACGCCCACCCACGCAGTCCCAGAACATTGTCCACACTGTTGATTTCGATGTGGGGGTGAAGCTAAGAGAGGCGCGAAGTACATCACGCGGCGCTGCTGCAGCAGCGTCGCGACGAGGTTGACGATGCCGAAACCGCTGTCAACTGCAAAGGTTTACGCTCGCGGCGCTGCTGCAGCAGCGTCGCGATGGCTCGAGACTGCTGAGGACACGGCTGATGGGGGCTGGTGAGGCTGCCAGGAGGCCATGGGGGGAGCTACTCGGCGGCGCAACGAACTGTGCTGAAGGGGAGCAGGGAGAGTGGCGAAGGGCGATGCGATGCGAGACGGTTTGCCATCTGAAGTGCCCCAGAACCCCCCCAAGTGCCCCCGAACTTTCCTGGCCAATCCAAGGCCGACCCCTGGCACATCATTCCAGACGAAAAAATGTCAGCGGACCAGGATGTGAACGTCGACGATGGCAGATAGATGTGGTGAGGATATCGGCGCGCCTTTTTGGGCGACAGCGCGGGCGCACCACGCGATCTGGCGCACGAAAGATAACTTGGCCTAAACACATGCATGCGTCGGCGTCAGCTATGCTCGCGAACTGATCCAATCCACCCCCACTGCTCCCATTGATCTTACATGTTGGGTTGCTACAGCATGTATCCTCTCACTATGCGTTCGCTGTCTCCCTCGCTCACGGGAGAGTGGATACCCGCTGCAGCGGGCATCCTGTCTATCGTCTCTCTCCAAGGTGTCTTCACTCCCCCCCCCGCGCTGCGTCTCCATCGTCCCCCTCGCATTCCCTATGTATATCACGTCTCCCCCTGTCTACCTCTACTATAGTCCCCCCTTCTCCCCTTGTCTACCTCTACTGCGTTGCCGTCCCATTCCGTCGCCCACCAGTAGTGGAATGATCCGCGGCCGCGCCGCAGCTCTCACGTGGCGCCCGCATGGCGCAGGCGCTGCATAGCGCACGGGCCTCCTCGGCGCAGGCGCTGCATAGCGCACGGGCCCCCCTCAGCGGCCAGCGCAGGCGCTGCATAGCGCACGGGCCTCCTCAGCGGCCAGCGCAGGCGCCTCC